AATTCCCAAAACGGGAAAATATCGAAAAAAGTTTCCAATGGAATAGAATTTTAAAATAAAAGTACATTCTATTGACAAACTTTGTAAGAATCTTTATACAGTTGCTGTAAAAAATCAGCGAACAAGTTGAAGATTTTTTCAATTTGTTATTCTTCTTTTGTCAATTTTTTTTCAATTTGTAATATCATATTGAATTCATTGTTTTTTTTTTAACAAAATAAAGAGTAATTTTTCACTATATACAATTTTTCACCAAAAAAAATGAAATAGGTGCGAAATACGGTAATGATGGTAACTGACATCTACCTTTCAACTCCAGGGCCTACATCGTGCTTCAGCTGGAAGATGCGAAATGCAAAAATTTTTGGGAGTACAATCAGTAAAATACCAAATATAAAGGGTGCAAAATAGTAGAGCGAATGGGACTTTTAGTAAGAAAAGGATTTCTATCCTTCCAAAAATTCTTCCTGAATATTTAAGATACCTTAAATCGCTTTTGCCGGTCATGATATCGATCATAAATAACCATCGTATGATTTAAGCCATTTTTGGAGTCTTCGCCACTTTCTTCTATTTTTGGCTCTTATTTGGCATCTTTGTTTCTAAGGGGGTAGAGAATCTCTTCGCATAAAATGTTAGGAGTAGGGCCCATATTGGTCTTGACCACTAAAAAATTGTATTTATGCCACCCTGGGGTAAGGAACCATCGTACAGATAATTGCCACATAGAAATTTATTCATGTAAAGTCCCCACATTGGAGTAACCCCAAGTCCACTTTCACATCTAATGTGTGATCAGAAAAGAAAATTTTGTATTCTATTGAATTTGAAACCCCCAAGAGAATATTGGTTGGGAACGTAGATTTGGGAAATACATCTATATGAAATAAATTGTGAAAACATGAACAAATTATAAAACATAAGAAAGTAGCACGGGACTATGATGAAAAATATAGACTTTATGGGGTCTCCAATTTACAATTTAAATGACAAATAAAATTAGCTCCCATATTACGGTAATGGGTGCAAAATAGTAATTATAATTGACTATTCTGAAATCAGTCTGACCTCAATTATGAGGTGGATAAAACTATTTTTACTTATTTAAATCACGTGATTTTTTTTTTTTCAGTATGACATGCTATGTTGTTCTGCTATATTTTCGATTTGGCCTCCATTTGTCATCTTGGATTATAAGGGGTGAAGAAAGTTTTCAATGTAGGCCGATGTTTCGCATTTTACCATATTTCAAAGGATTTGGCTAAAAATGTGTATTTGGGGGTGAAAATCTTACACAAAAATTTCAACATATCTACAAATTTTAGAATTTTCTCCATGTAATAGAACCCCCTTAAGTCCACCTTTTGGCGGACAAACAAACCGACATGGTTAGGGGTACTTATGAGGACTTTAATGCACAATCTGAGGTGCTAATGGTTTTGAAAAAGTAATTAACTTTGGCTATTCTTAAATCAATTAGCCCTCAATTATGAGGTGTACAAAGTACAGTAATTTCCATTTGACTAAAAATTAAAAACTAATCGACCAGTACGTGAACATTTATAACATTCATATTTTTGAATAATTATGCTTTGACAAATATGCATAATAGACAAAAACTGCGGGCCGGCAACGCGGACCGGGCCAGCTAGTATATATATATATATATATATATATATATATATATATATATATATATATATATATATATATATATATATATATATAAGAGTAAATTTAGCCTAGTCACATACAAATTGACAAAATTTAATTTTTGGCCAAATTCTGTCACACATTCCAAACTTTATACGCATAGCGTGTTTGGTGCATCAAATACACGAAATCAGATGAGAAATGTATGTAGAAACTATATTCAATCTGTACAGACTTCAATCTAATTGTAGAAATTTATTCGCAGTTTTCGTTGAAATTAGCCCACATGGTTGATTGAATTTAAGTAAAAAGTATAAGGCCAACTTTAATTAACTCGAAAACGTTAAATATAGTACATTTTCCGTAAGTATCAACTACATCAGGGTGTATAAATTTTTCTTATTATATATATATATACATTTTTTTTAAATATTATGTTCACAGTATCGAAACTGTAAACATTCCGAGTGTCTAGAAATAAATTGACTGATATGAAAGTTTAGTTTTTTCTTTTTTTTACATTATGTGTTGGTTCAAACCTTGTATTGGTGTAAGGAGTTATTTTAAGTATAAATGTTTAGTCAGTTTTATGTTTGTCGGATACAGTTGAGTACAGAGATCTATCCACACTATTTCCTTCTGTAATTCCAAAAACGTTTGGATGTAATTCGAACTGCTCTTATTTATTTATCAATGAAAATCCTATCTACGTCTCAATAATTTTTGTAAAAGTCTATTTACTACAAATGCAAATATTTCATTAAACACTGAAACGGTGAAACATTTTCGCTAACCTAATGTAAGAGGTAGACCATTCCAAGATGAAGCGAAAGAGAGACCACATTGTTTTTTCATTTCTTTATTAGTACAACTTCGTGAGAAACACATCGAAGCAAATGACAATGAATTTCGTTTATGCATTAGGAATTACATATGTCGTTATATGAATATCGACATATCTTTTAAACCTCTAAATAGACTACTTAGATACTACTGTATGTAATTGTTTTCTAAATACTTACCGAATCTACATATAAGACCAGCAATTGCCCATTTGTGTCCCTATTCCCTCATTTGGTGGTCATATATTTTTTACAAAATGTTGCTTTTTATAAATCTGAAATAAATCACTATCCGAACGCACAGACGCCTAATATAAAAAAACCAAATAGTGTGAAGTCAGATTTATAGCATTTTGATATTATTGAAGATTAATCCACTGGGCTTAATAGATTTAGTGTGTTTGGACACACTTTTGGGAGGATAGAAATACCGCTCAGGATAATATTAATTGTCCCAAAGGACAATGTTAATATGTAGATTCCGCACAAGATTAAAAACAAATGCTGGTTGAATTAAATAGTACAGGGTGAAATTAAAAAAACTGTTACAAAGTCAAACTTTTAAATTTTATTGAATGAAAGCAAACAATGTCGGAAATAGCATCAAATTTTAGAATAAGTTTAGATTTGTTCGAATTGCTCACCTTTGGCACGAATTATGGCCTTCAAACGGCCAATGAAACCGTCACACGCTGCCCGAATGTTGCTCTGCGGTATTTTGGTCCATTCCCAGCGAAGCGCTTGCTTGAGGTGATCGACACTTTGGTATTTTTTAGTACCAAACTTGCTTTCAAAAATGCTCCAGACACAATAGTCCAACGGATTGGTGTCCGTAGGTTTTTGTGGCCATTGTGCGCTGAAAATGAGGCGAGAATATTTTCGAGATAATACTCGGCATTTGTTCTGATGCCACGGTCGATTAATACGAGCGGAGAGCGATAATCTGCTGTTATGGCGGCCCACAACATCACCATGGCCTGCGCTTTAGTTCTGGTGGCCAATCGAAGGTGCACATTTTCAGCTGAACTCTTTGGCAAGTAAACACGATTATATTAGTTTGTTTACAAACTGCTGGGCAACGAATGTTTTCTCATCGGAGAAAACGAATTTCGGCAGTTCACTACTTTCGGCCAAGCGAAGCAATTCTTTAGCTCTTTTGAGTCTATTTTCTTTCTGTTGCGGTGTAAGTTCTTGCACTTTTTGAAAATTCAATGGCTTTACCCGAGCTCATTTTTCAATATTTGCCGAATGGAATATTGCGATATGTTCAGCTCACGAGCCATTTTTCGACCACTACGACGCGGGTTCCGATCAAGTCGCTTCTTTACTTTTCGAACCATTTCTGCTAATGTTGCTGTTTTCTTCCGTCCAATTACTTGACGTTGGGCTGCGCTAACAGTATCACTGTAACGAGGATGGTACGAGACACAAAAGATTTATTCACATTTAAATGCTGGAGTGATCTAACGATATAAAAATATATATAAAGAATCACACTATCACGCTTGAATTCCATCACGAAGAACTTTTTTTTTTGGAAAATTCTCACCAAAATGTTTTGTAAACAATATAATGAGCTGTCACTGGAATAATTTTAACAGTTGTCGGACGAGTGGCTTAGAAATGACAGAAGTCTGAAGTTGGTTGCAGTTTTTTCATCTCACCCTGTAAATTCTTATATTGTGAGTTAATTCGCATAAAATGTTGTATCTAAAAGTCTATTTAGACGAAACCGTTATATGATGATTAAGGGCATTATCTTGATTTATGTGCAAAATCCTCCCAAATTTACCATACAAATTAAATCAACTACAAAATTCGGATTTGTTTTAAATTCACTATTAAATCGAAATATTTTGGCAAACAACACAGCTTTTTGCTCATAAAAATGCAACAAAGTATTCGTGTACCTCAAAAAAAAATTGTCCATGTCAGGAAAATTTGAAAGTTGGACCAAGAAAACGAGTCTATTTTAAAATACTTCTTCAATTTGACTATACACGTACTTCTACACTAAACCAAAAGTATACTTCGACGACATCAATTTAATGCCAAAACTGTCCGATTTTCTCCAGATTTCTTTTGAGGGTAAAAACGCAATTTTACAAAAAAAAAACTTTTCGCCAGTAACCCTATTCAGGAATTTCGAAATGTTTGAACATATAAATTACTGACCGCAAAACGGATGATAAATAATAGGCTTACGTCTCAAAACATTGAAATGTGTTATTTGCATTCTAGGCAGTATTTGATATATATATTTTTTTGATTTCTGTATGAATGTCTGTGATAATTGTATGCTTGCATGCTTCTTCCTCCATAAATGTATCTAATGAAATATTTATTCCTTTTGCACTCACTATCGAATCCAATACTAACATGTATATGTAAATTATACATGCATATGTAAATTATACTCCTGCTCATTTTTTTCATCTTATAATTGTTCTATATTATCTGTATATTTTTCTGTCCTGCATCGCCAACAACATTTATGAAACATAGCAGCGTGGACGCGGTGCCGCTCGACTACCGGCTCTTTGACCCGCCACCAAAACAGCGCAAACAACAGCAATCAACCAATGGGAAAGCATCATCCCCCAAATATCATCAGCGACAAGCTTCAGACGAATGTGCCAAAAATTCAACCAACAATACAAATTTGTCCGGCAGTATATCCGGTAAAGTTCGATCAAAAGCTGCCGATAATAATTCCAACAGCGGAAACAGCCTCGCCGGTGAATTCCAGTGTGCGTCTAACAGCATCCCCTCCCCGCATATTGTCCAGTCGGGCTCCTATGTTGAAATTCTAAAGCAGGCCACAAATTCTACGCCGCCTCAAGCTATGCCATCACACGAACGTCTCGCCAGCCACAACAAGGGTTCCATAAACTCGGCCTCGTCCCTGGCTTGCCACAACAAAAGCTATGGCGACTTTCTTACCATTACCCCCCGACGCAAGGGTAAGCAACTCTCGGCTGAGCACAAGACTGCCATGGGCGAAGGACACGACAATTATCGACATCACCTACCACATAGCATAGAACCTCTTCATCTGCTGGGAATTCCTAACGACAATATGTCCACATTCTTCGACTACCGAGCCATGGAAACACTCAGCAATGCAGATACTCTGGCCATTGGATCCACCATGGCCGGCCATTTGTACCCCTCCAAGGGCAGCAAACAATCTATTCAAGGCTCCGGACCTGTCTCGACCGATCGCCAGGTGCCGGACGAGTTCCATCACATTATCAGCGAGAAAAACTTGAGCCCTCCGTCAGCATTTTGTGATAACATATCATCTTTGAACAAAGCATAAGACTTTGTCAGGCCTAGCATGACTGACCAGAACTGCAATTATTGACATATCCGAGGATCCTTGAGGTGCATTTAAAAAATACAACAACACAAATCCCCAATAACAATACAATACAACGCATATCTTCCTAAAGTTCTGAACAAATTCAAGTGGATAAACAACAACAACAACAACAAAACACTAGCCAAATATTAAACTACAGAGACAACGGAAACTACAATTGCATTTAGATCGTAAGCGCAGCATTTACGTACTTTCTATTAACATACATACAAACAAGCAAAGCAAAACAAAAATCGTATAAAAATAGAAATTATTTGAAGACAGACTAAATTTAAGAAACCATTTCATACAAAATACACAGCAAACATACGAACACACTTACACAATAGTTTCGACAACACGTTGACAAGACATGCCCTTGCAAACATTTGTAAGCGTCAAAAGAAACTCGAAACCGTAACAATTTAAACGAAAGGAAAATAAAACGATAGAAACAGCGTGCCAAGGCCTATTATATAGGTCGTCCGATTAGCCCAGCTGATTTCACCCGTTCTGTCAAAATACATTTGTTTATACTAGGAATTCGCCGAAAAAATTACATTCTGCCTGTCTGGTTATTTTCCTGCAGTAATTGTCCAGGATTTTCTTATCTTTTGCTAAAAAAAAAAAATAGAAATGAAGTACACACAAAATTTAAAATGAGCCGTAAAACTAAACAATTAAGGTGAGAATACATAAAAGGCTTCTTTGACTGGCTAAAGTCATCGGTTGGCTTCTTCGGAAAATAATAATAGAGCATCGGGTCAATTTCGAACTAAATCAACATAAAACGCCTTCAATCCTTTCCGAAGAAGTCAGCCGATTATCAAAATATATGTTTTATATGTGCTTCTCCAAATATAAATCACCGAAAGAAGAAAAATAGCAAATGATTGCAAGAAGAAATTTGTTACATAGGTACACAGACAAACCTAATTCTGTTTAAAACCCGTTAAAAATTTTGTTAAAATCTTAAAAATACCGAATGTTTATACGACGACGTGGGCCTGCATAGGCAACTTTTGTCATAAATTATTACAATATTTAAATGCGAAACTTGAAGAAAAATCTGTTTATAATGTAGCTAAAATCGTCAAAATACCGAATATGGGAAGTACCGTTATATGGGGGCTATACGAAGACGTGGACTTGCACAGACAATTTTCTGGCATGGGCTGAAGTATCCATTACGAACTTCACATACGAAATTTGAAACAATCCCGGTAAATAACGTCGCTAAAATCATTAAAATACCGAATATCGGGGGGTACCGTTATATGGGGGCTATATGAAGACGTGGACCTACATGACCCATTTTCTGTTTTATGCTGCAGTATCTATTACGAACTTCAAATACCAAATTTGGAACAATTCCGCTAAATAATGTCGCTAAAATCATCAAAATACCGAATATCGGGGGTTACGGTATATGGGGGCTATATGAAGACGTGGACCTACATGGCTCATTTTTTGACTTAGGATGTAGTATCCATTACGAACTTCAAATACCAAATTTGAAACGATTCCGGTAAACAATGTCGCTAAAATCATCAAAAAACCGAATATCGGGGGGTACCGTTATATGGGGCCTACAGGAAGACGTGGACCTGCAGAGATAATTTTCTGTCTTACGCTGTAGTATCCATTACGAACTTCAAATGCCAAATTTGAAATAATTCCGGTGAATAATATCGCTAAAATCATCAAAATACCGAATATCGGGAGGTACCGTTATATGGGGGCTATATGATAACTTGGACCTACATGGCCCATTTACGAACTTAACCTGCCTACTGGGAAAAAATACATGTGTGCAAATTTTTAGCCTTCTATCTCAATTTGTTCGAAAGATAGCGTGATTACAACAGACAGACAGACAGACAGACGGACAGACAGACGGACGGACATGGCTAAATCGTCTTAGAATTTTACGCTGATCAAGAATATATATACTTTGTTGGGTCTGACATGAATATTTCGAGGAGTTACAAACGGAATGACAAAATTAATATACCCTCCATAGTATGGTGGAGGGTATAAAAATGTTGAATGAAAAATTATTTAAATTTGTAAAAATTGTTGAAAAACGCGAATTTTAATAACCCCCGAATGACGTAGTATAAGAAAACATATAAAAATCTACTTATATTTGAAAAAAAAAAAAAACATTTAATTTTTTTGACATATCAATGCTCCCAAGCGTTGATGCATCTACCTGTATTCTTCTGCCATGCAGCGTGCGAAAATGAACGATTGGACCGATGTTAAAATAACGGTACTTGTTCTTTATTATTTACTGTTTGTGTAGGCAAGTGACGTAACACGGGAAACGAAACAGTACAAAACTCATTGTAATCGTTTCCCTGTATATCAGCGGTGCTCAAAACCGTGTTCTAGAACATGAACCGAAAGAAGAGATAATTTAAGAGAAATTTAAAATTCTGTTTTTCTTTATATTTTACGGTTCTATTTAATTGTTTTTAAACACGAATGTTTGCCAAAATAATTTATAAAGCAAATTGATAAAAAATATTTGTATAAATAATGACTTAACATTGTTTTGTTCTTGATTTAAATAAGCAAAGAGAAATTTGACTGAAAAGAGATATTTCTTCTTGAGCACCCTTGCTGTATATTAACTCATTACAAATAAAGTAACAACTAATATTAAGTTAAATTTATGAATGGAAAACGGTAGAGAAACAACAATTTTGTATGACAACTCTGAACATAGTCATAATTTCGCACAGCAAATGCTTTCCCGGCGATTCGTTCGCAATGATACAGGGCCAAATCACCGCATTCGTTATCGAGTTCTGTTTCGTATCGAGAAACATTTCGATCGTGGTAAATTCGACCGTAATTTAATTGTTCTACTACTCTTTTTACATTGCTGTAAACCTATGGTAATAAGAAATTGAAAAAAAAGTTTTGGTGTCTTGTATTATGAATCCAAGTGTTTTTGTTTACCTTTTCTCCGCGCAAAAATCACTACATACCATGGTAAAAGAATACAGGTAGTTCTATCGACACAGCTTATGGGACAATGAAATGTCAAAACAATTTTGGAATTGAAAATTTTTAATGAAAAATTATTGAAAAATACATACCATAACAAGCCACGATTTGTGTCGTATAAGGAAACATATATAAATCAACTTATTCCTGAAAAAACATTTTAAAAATGTTTAACATTTCAATGTTCCCAAGGTTGATGCATGTATCTGTATTCTTCTACCATGCTACATACTTTGTTTTCTATAGCATACTACCTACCGTGTACAACTTCGAGTAGACAAAATTCGATAACGACTGCGATGATCCGCATAAACTACCGCACGATTTCGACTGCGGTGATTTGGCCCCAACTCGGCAACTCACAGCCAGATTACGTTAAGGCAATCGTATTGATTGTGTACTTCTTTGAAATTGCATTGAAATGTTTGTGGTTTTGTTTTGTTTGGAGTACAAAATGATAGAAACAATTTGTGTCTTCGTGTGAGCTGTACGTTAATCATTTCGTTTTGTTCGCTGAATAAAAATAACGTTTTACAATTTATTATCGATATATCTGCCCAATGCGTTAAGTTCGCCCTTGCTGAACTTTGTATACCCTTCGTCACGTGGAAACCGAATGTGGTCGATGCAAATACGAAATATTTTTGTCAGATACGGTTCTTACCGTTAACGAATCCAAAACAATGGATTAATGTGAGTAGGATCTTTAAAATACCAATAATTGAGGGAAATCGTTATATGGGGTCAATTCTGAGCCGAGATATAAATTGGCCCACCTATGCTGTGTTCCAGCTATAAGTGTTTCATTTAAATCAAATTGCAGCCACAGTGGCGGAAAATGTAGTCAGGACCTTTAAAGCACTTAATATAGGACGTCACCACTATATGAAGCTAATGTCAAAATGTGTAATGTATGAGTACGTCAATGAGTATCCAATTTGCCCAATTTAATGCTGACATTTGGAGCTGAAACTTGCAAAATGCAGCATTTCAAGTGGGGCCGTGATATATTACAGAGATTAACAATGCAGTTTAAATCTCAGCTGTCCGGTGGAAAACATCGGCTGAAAAACTCAAAATACAGAAACCCAAGAGATACCGCTGTATAGGGGTTATATCTTAACATACAGAGATATAGCCACTATTCAGTACTAATCATTCCTATCATTTCAAATTACATGATATAATGTTGGCTGTATCTTGAACACAGCCGATGGGCGGACAGGCACGGATCGATTTATAATAAATAGACAATAGGGCCAACAACAGATTTCACCGAAAGTCTTATCATGATATCGCATAAGCAAATTTTTCGAAAAGACACTTTGTGAATTTGAATTTATGATAAAATAAATACAAATATGTTATATTTATTTTATGGCCGAACCAGAGTGAAATTCTAAGTCGATCGCTTAATGGTGTTCTTAGAAGGCGCACTTCTCACATTTTTTAATGTTTTAAAAGCACGTTGAGTTTTCCCAATTGACTTCTTCTGTTGAATGTAAATTTCAAAGCGCTCGCGTGTCGTGTATTGGTTCATGGTAAAAATCTGCTTGGACTGACGCTTCAAACGCGGTATGTCATTAAGCGATGTGACATCTCTGTCAAAAGTTATGGCGTTGCCAGATGGGTCCGTCGAATATGGGCAACCCTATATCTTGAATCTATACAAGGCAATATATATGTTTTTTAAGCACGTTGTTTCTGATTTAATAGCAAGTACGTTTGGTGGTTTCTGGAGCCTATTGAACAACACCCATCGCTTAATATATATGTTTACATATAGCCGAATATTTAAGCATAATATCGATATACTGATAAAGGGAAACTGCAAGTTCTTCAGATATTTAACTTTTGTACACTTTTCATACAAACGGCAAACATGTTTGTATAAAACATTTACACTTTGGATTTTTGTACAAAAGTTGAGATTTACTTCTTTGCGCAGATTTAAAGTGTGACTTAATGTTTGGGATACCCTCTGTTGGATAATACACGTTAAACAACGTCATTGTTATGCGAAAAACCATAGAATAATACGGTGATATAATTGTTTCGAATAAATCGGCATTATCTTGTCGACAAGCTAAATGAAATGCAAGGGTTTGTCGTATACAATCGACCATTAGATAAATAAAAATAAATATAATTATATGTATGTACTTGTTCAAAACCAAAACTTGGATGACCGTAACGACAAATATTCTCGACTGATCAACATTTGCATGATGTTGGCGAAAGTATCGCTCATTCATGTCAAGTGTCATTTAATCAAATCCCTGTATATACGCACACATTCACAAAACACGAAAAAAACGAAGCAGTAAAATGAAATGAAAACACATATACATTTATAAATGATTTAAGTAATTAGGTGAATATGTATTTAAAGATGCAGTGGTGCGGAGAGACGTCATTAAAATCACATTTCCCTTCTTTTAGTTATCTTTTTTTGCGAATGATGTCAATGATATATTATGAAAAATGTTTGTATTATCAATTTCTTAGTACAATAAGCATTTCAATAAAGTAGTTAATACCAGTTAGTAGGTAATATAAAAATAATTTAACATATCAATCGGAGTTCATATATGTAATGGAGTCTTGTGTCTTTTTAATAATTTTCAGTCATTACCAAGGATTCTGAGTTTTACATACATTGGTTTTCTTTTTTTTTTGATGACGTCAAGAGAATTGTATTTTTAGGCCACTGAGTCGCATCGAGTGTTATTATCACATCATTATTATTAGTATTAATATAATTATTATGTTATCTGTTTGCTAGTTAATTACTAGGCATAGTTCATTAGTACACAAATACATATTTATACATTATTATAGCTATTAAGATTCAGTCCTTAAAGCGTACTGTAATTTAATTCGAACGAAATTGAATTGAAACATGTGTCAATAATTGAACCTTAACTTATTCCAAATTTACATGTAAGGCCCTCGATATCAATTCTCCACAAAGTGTCAATTTTTCGATGCCAATTTGAGATGTTTGTCAATAGACCGGCCTGTCTCCATCATACAATGCAATTAAGGAAGGCAGGTGCTAATTCAATCTTTGGACGAATCATTCGTTAGATTAAATAATAAATATATAGTTGTGAAAGGAGATTCCCTTTAAAATTTAAGTACATTAACGAAACATGATATATGACTTTTATTTATCAATAAAATATGAAACAAAAAAAAAAGAAAAACAATACATTTAAATGTATTTAATCACTTATGTATTTGTATGTGCAAAATATAAAAAAATACAAATAAAAATAAAACAAAACCTGTGTAAAACAAGTAATGTTTTTTTTTGGATGGTATTTTTTAACAATTATTTGTTATTAGGTATTTGC